TGGCCATGACTCTTCACTTTTTTTTTACAACTCAATTCCCTCACGTGTTTAACTCTCAACCTAGCTCTTGATACCACTGACACAAGAAACTAGAAAGACTTCAACATTCCCTCCCTTAAACTGATGTTTGCTAACAGTCAGTTTAAAGTATACAGAGTATAGACACCTAATAATCTTCTTAACTTCACAAATGACTCCATCTTGAGAGCTTTAGTGAAAATATCAGCAATCTGGTCTTCACTCCTGCAGTAGATTAAATCAATAGCTCCATCATTACAAAGATCTTTTAAAAAATAAAACTTCACATCAATGTGCTTACTTCTTCAATGTAGCACAGGATTCTTGGATAATCTAATTGCTGAATTATTATCACACATAATTTGAGTAGCTTTGAGTTGCTTGAATTGAAGCTCCTCAAGATTCTCCTTAGCCAAATGGCTTGGCATGCACAAGCTGTAGTAGCAACAAAATTAGCTTCTGTGCTTGACAAAGTGACAATTGGTTGCTTCTTTGATGCCCAAGAAATAGCACCTGTACCAATCATAAAAACATAACCTGATGTGTTCTTCCTGTCATCTTGATCTCTTGCGTAATCACTGTCAGTAAATCCCACTAAATCAGATTTTACACCCTTATTGTAAAATATCCTGAAATTTCTTGTTCCTTGCAAGTAGCGAAGGATTCTCTTGGCAGCCAACAAATGCATTTCTGTAGGATTCTCCATATACCTGGTAATTAAACTCACAGAATACATTATGTCTGGCCTTGTTGCAGTGAGATACATCAAACTTCCCACAATTTGTTTGTAGAAGGTGCTGTCAACCTTCTTTCCTCCATGATCTTTGTGTAGTTTCAAGCCACATTCAACTGGAGTGTGCACAAGATTACAATCCTTCATTTGAAACCTGTCTAGAATATCTTCCACATATTTATTTTGAGAAATAAAAATTCCATCACTTGATTGTGCTACACTTATGCTAAGAAAGTAATGCATCATACCAAGATCAGTTATTTCAAACTCATTCGTCATAGACTTTTTAAATTCTTCAAACATAACATCACAATTTCCAGTGAATATAAGATCATCTACATATAAGTAAACAATAAGCATTTTTCCTTTATCACCAATCTTAACAAAGAGTGTATGTTCATAAGGACACTTTATAAAACCAGCCTTAAGAAAATAAGACTCAATGCGACTATACCAAGCTCGAGGGGCTTGTTTTAGTCCATAAGTGCCTTTTTCAATTTGTAAACTTTATGCTCATTTCCAACCTTCTCATAACCAGGGGATTGTTCAATAAATATTTGTTCCTCCAAGTACCCATGCAAGAATACCGATTTGACATCTAACTGGTAAATAGGCCAAGAATTTTGTGCAGCAAATGCAACCACCAACCTGATTGTATCATGTCTCGCAACAGGAGAAAAAACTTATGTATAATCAATCTCATATTGTTGCTTGTACCCCTTAACAACCAAGCGTGCTTTGTGCTTGTCAATTTCACCATTTTCCTTTAACTTTGTTTTGAACACCCACTTCACACCAATAGTTTTGGGTCCATTTGGAAGATCAGTTAACTCTCAAGTATCATTCCTCTCAATTGCATCAATTTCAGAATCCATTGCTTTTCGTCATTTTTCTTCTTTGACAACACTCTCAAAAGTCATGGGATCACATTCTGAAAACAAAGCAAAATGAGTAATTGGAACTTCAATTCCAGTTACCTCATAATCTTCCATCCAAGCAGGCCTTCTTCTAACACGATGAAGAGATTGAGTTCCTTCTTCGTTAACTCCAACTACTGTTGATGAGGATTGACTAGCTGAAGAAGTTGCAATGGACGAATTTTCAGGCATACTAGATGCTGAAATTTGTTCTTGTTCAGAATCAATATCACAAAGAACTTGGGTAAGCTGCTGCATATTCCAATCCCAAGTGTTTTCTTCATCAAAAACAACATCCCTGCTAACCACAACTTTTTTTGTCAGTGGATTAAATAATTTATATGCTTTAGATGTATCACTTACACGTAGAAAGACACATTTTTCAGCCTTGTCATCAAGTTTTTTTCTTTTCTGATCCGGGACATGAGCATATGCAATGCATCCAAAAATTCTAAAGTGATCCACATTTGGTTTTCTCCTACTCCAAGCCTCTTCTGGCGTCATATTTCGAACTGCAAAGGTTGAACTTCTGTTCAAGACATGAATGCACCAGTTTACTGCTTCTGGCCAAAACGTCTTTGGAACTCTTCCTCTTGCCAAGCTTCTAACCATGTTGAGGATGGTTCTATTCTTCCTCTTATACATCATTTTGTTGTGGTGTATACGCAGTTGTAAGCTCTTTTCGGATGCCATGTTCTTCACAAAAAGTTTCAAATTCTTTAGAGCAATATTCACCACCACGATCTGTGCGAAGTGTCTGAATCATCCTTCCTGACTCATTCTCCACACGAGCTTTGAAATTTTTAAATGTAGAGAAAGCTTCTGACTTTTCCTGTAAAAAATAAACCACATTTTTCTAGAAAAATCATCAATGAAGGTAATTAAATATGTTTTACCTCCATTAGAAATTGGATTTATTGGACCACAAATGTCTGAATGCACCAATTGCAAAATTCCCTCTGCTCTCCATGAGTTCCCTTTTGCAAATTCAGAACGATGTTGTTTGCTAACAACACATTCTTCACATACTAAGGAATGAGGAATTGTGATTTGAGGGAGGCCTGTTAACAACTTGATATGGATAAAATAAAGATTCGAGCGGTGTAAGGAATGAGTTCCATGAAGATTCGAGCGTTGAATACTCGACATGTTAACAACTTGAGCAGTTGATGATGATGCATTATGTGAAAAATTAAAAGCACCTGACTTATGGATAAAATAACATCCTCTGCTCCGACAATATCCATGTATAAATCTAAAAAATGTTTCCTTCACTGGTTGACGTATTCTTCCATTACCATATCTACATCTTCATCATCTACAACTTGGAAACTAATTCTTCATTGGACCATGATCTTATCGTGACAAGAGTGATAGATTTGTTACCTTCGAGACCTAACTTCCGATGGATTTTTTGAAGCAGTTCTTCAATTGTTTAGTTGCGCTTGATACACGATGACATTTTCTCGCCTTCAAAAATTACACCACGTCGACCTTCCACTTTCCTACCATTATAATATAGAACAACACGAACACAATCAATATGTGAACTCATTTTTAAATATATAAACAAAAAACACAAAAGAGAGTATCAATAAGCAAGTGATAATGTATCTAGGAGAAGGGGTTTGCGATGAAGAAGAGTTGTGAAAAATGTGGAGAGGAGAGGGATTTAAATGAAGGAGAACTGGGCCAATTGCGCCCAAATTAGGCAAGTTAGGGTTCTAGGTTGCCTCTAATTGGGGCGCGACCAGTAACACCTTTTCTAGGTGTGTTTCATTAGGCAATTGCGTCTTATTTGAGCATGAGTGGTTGCCCGTTTTGGATATGACTGAGTGCAATAGATCCGTAAATTGATTTTAAAATGCTATATTTTTGTAATTTTTTTTAATTTTTTTGCCCTTGCAGTTTTTTTATCAAACCGGTGAAATGTATCTGATTTCTCATTATTTGGGACAAAAGCCCAAATTTTCCATTACTTTAATTTTTTTTATTTTCTATTTATGTGGTTTTTATGAGGGAGATTTTTTTTTTGAAGTGCATAACGATTGGATTTTATGTAAACCGGATGAGTCATTTTACTCATTCGTTTTTGTAAAAATTTATCTTAGTCACACTATGTCTTAAACAAGTTGGCTGATTTACTATTGTACCCCGATGGATAATATGATCGTTGACTAGTGAATAGGAGAGTCTGATACGAATTTTATAACATCCCATATAAATTATTATATTTTTTTTATAAACATATAAATTATTATATTTATATTCATATATTAAGTGAACTTTTCAAAATATTAAAAAATTATAATTTTTTCTCTTTTTCATTTTTTTAATTCATAAATTTATTGTTTCATTTATTTTTATTTAATTAACTTTTTACTTCTCTAATTTATATATTTTTTGAAAAAAAATTATATTCCAACCTTTTAATTTTTTTCTATATATATTTTTTAAACTTTTAAAACAAATAGCAATCAAAGTACTTTAATTTTTAATAAACTAAAAAAATTATGCATATTTTATTAGATATATTGATAAATAAAAATATATATTGATAAATAAAAATATACATTGATATAACAGCAATTAATTAGCTTGTATTACTAATTTATAAATTCAATTATCTTATAATAACTTAGGAAAAATATTTGTCCTTTTAAATGATACAACTTGTGTCATTTCACTCTCACAAAGGTGGGACCCACACCTTTATATTTTTTTGTCCATTCTCTCTTCCTTGATCTATTTTTCTCTCACTTAAAATGACATAACTTTATATCCTTTAAAATGACACACATTTTCTCGAAAACTTATTCTTATAAGTTCTAATTTTATAAAGCCTAAGCGTTAATACATTTTGAACTCATATCTGCACACACATATATTTCAGGAGCAGTAGTGTTAGTATAATCAATTCAGGTACTTTAGAATCTGTTTACTTTACTTATACGCAAAATCAATGGTATTAACTTTGGCTTGCCACGTTATGTTTGAGCCTTCTCTAGTTCGATATATACAATATTATTCTCCTACAATCCTAAAAGAAAAGAAACACCAAACTTGGGAGGCTCATTAATTTAATGGAGGGAGCACCCATTCCAGCGACAAAAACGGTGCTAAACGCCGTTTATCTCTAAACCACCCATAATGATCCTTAACTAAATCTAAAATTTCGGAGGATATTCAAAAAATGTAATGGCATATAGACCACTTAATGTAAAGTGAATCTCAAGCTAGCTATTATAAATAATGCAAGTAAGGTACAAGAGTAACTCAAGCCTTCAGAAATTTCCCTTTTCAGCTTTCATTTCCAAACTGAAGTTTTCTCAATGAGAAAGCCTTCCACTCTGCAACGCGCACTTGTGCGCTTTTGGGTTCTCTTATTTCTTGTTGCCAGCTTCTATTATGTTACTTCTGCTATAGTAACAACGGAAGTTAATTCAGGTTTGTGCCTTATGCTGACACTACAAGATATTTTTTGTTATATGATATACAAAATGTGTACTCATACATAACTGTCAGAGATATAGTAAAACATATTCCCCAACAATTTAAACTTTTAGGAGAGTTGGTTGCATTACATGATATTAGAGCGTAAGACTAAGTGATATAGGGTTTGATCATTGTCCCCTCTATTATTCCCTCTAGCAAGTGAGGAATTAAAAAGATTTCAAGAGTTGTGTATATTTAGTGAACCTAAGTTTTGCGGAAGGAGACCGCTTTAGCAGTGAGCCAAAACACTTCATACACTAAATTCTCTCTCTATTTATCTATGTGAAAAAATTCATATTTATTATAATAAAAGTAGGGTTTAAGTTTCTCATATTGTTAGAGATAAAAATTATTTTCTACACAGTGTGCGGGCTTTAATATTTCTCTTTTTTCTGTTTTTTTCTCACATGACCCTATATGAACCACACATACTTTTATGTATATTGGAGATAATTTTATCTCGTATAACACGAAAAGTTTAAACCATAAAAGTATAAGTATTATGTGTTTAACTTATGTTCTTTTGCATTTCTTATACAGGGAATGAAGAGAACAAAGAAGGACATGATGAAGAAGCAAAATTCAAAGGAATTTTTCATCCAAAACCAATATTCAAGAAACCCATTCCAATTGTTAAGCCTATACCAAAGCCAGTTCCCATTGTTAAGCCTATACTAAAACCAATTCCAGTTGTTAAGCCAATCCCTATTCCAGTGTATAAGCCTATACCAAAGCCAATTCCCGTTATTAAGCCTGTAACAAAACCATTTATAGTGGAAAAACCTATCCCTATTCCAGAGTCTAAGAAACCTATCCCCGCTGTTGAGGCAGAGGAATTTCTAAAGCCAAAGCCTTTATTCAAAAAGCCTATTCCTAAACTACCATTTCACCCCGAATTAAAGAAACCATTTCTACCACCATTACCAATTCCAACTCCATAAGATAATAAGACTCTTCCTCGATCCGCATTCTATAAAATTATCATGCTTAGAATGTTAACTTTATATATATAGCTACGCCTGTATCTCAACATCACTTGCATTAGCATAATCCTATCATTCTCATCTTGTGTGTTGTAATGGAATATATGTACTTAATTGCTTTCGCCTAAATAAAGTTATCTGTAACACCCCGTGTATACCCGGTTTGTTAACATGTCATCGTATTAAGCCACACTTAATTAAATATGCGGAATAACTTTTTCTTTCATTCAATTATGACATCATTATCATTACCAAGTTGATTATTAAATCCTTTCAAAATAATGCCTGTATGTAATTGCAAAAGAACAGCTAACTGAAATACCTCATATATAAAATATGTATCTATGCCACAGATCTACAACACGTAGTCCGGACAATATCCTGATAGTTTATACATAGCCAGACAAAGTAAAAAAACATATGCAATGTGGCATGAACAATCCCCATGCTCACCAAATAAGGAAACAACGCCCAACAACAGTCTCAAATCAAATAACATGACAGTAAAGATAAAGCAATGTCTGCATCCAGCAAAATCATCATAATAGCATGCAATCAGCTAAGCTCCAGCCTCCTGTCGCTAGAGGTCTCAACCCCCGCATTACCTGAACTTGAAAATGGTGCCCCAAACGTAGGGTGAGATCTCTAAATAGAAATCTCAGTAAGACAAGGGGTCCTCAAGGATCTTCCACCCCAAGCTCACTTACATGTGCAATATAAGTTCCAAAAGCAGTTTAACAGGTATAAGTTACAAAATCAGTGCAATGCAGCAGATAATCATGTATGTGTGTTATAACAATTCTACTGATCAGAGAAATGCAAGAATACGTCTATTACCCACATCAGTACACGCCCATGCTGTACCCGTCCACAGGACCACCCCATGGCTTCTTGTCTAAGTGAAACACCACATACATATCATAAGGCATTTGCACTTAGCAGCTCAATAGCATTTCAACAAAACAATATATCATGAAAACACACCATGCATATAACCATCCCCCCATGGGACATGGTGGAACCAACAATGGCTAAACCGAGGACACAAAATCTTACCTTGCAAGCTAACTATCCAAGCCAAGAGTCCAACCAAAGCTCAAAGCCCAAACACAGCAGAATCACAATCTGTTTTGGACCAGCAATCATATCAACAACCATAGCTCACAAGCATATAACATAAAGACAACACTTCTCTTTTACGTTTCATGTCTTTAGGCTTCTCACAAAGCCACAAGCCTTTAATCACTTAGATTCTGACTTAGATATCCATTACAGAAGTTCAACTTCATCAATCTAAGGTCCGCAAACCCCAAACATAGTTCTGTCTGAACAGTACAAACATTGTCCTCGAAAACTCAGAATATCCGGATATATATTAGGGCCATATCGGATATGATATCCGGATATCTCAAAGCCCATATCCGGATATTTCGCGACAGAATGCAGTTTCTGCATTTCGCGAGATATCACTCCAAAGGTTCAGTTTTTAATCCATTAAAACGTCCAAGCGTGCATTTTTACCCTCTTTTAGGTTCATATACAAGTTGGTTACTTGTTTAACTCATTAACATGCCAAGACTCAACCTTTAAACCAAGAAAACTCATGATCAAGTTAAGAAACATACCCAAGGCTTCAAAACAGAAGCTAGAGGTGCTCTTGGAGCTCTCGAAGAAGCCTCAACAATCTGACTTTGCCAAGCCACAAAAATGGTAATCCAAGGTGATTTCTTTCTCACCCAAGATCACTCCTTGGAGCTCACAATGTTAGAACAAAGCTCCCACAACTCCACTTTCAAAGGTCAGCCCACAAACTCTACACTAAACAGAAACCAAACTCAGAAAAGGGAACACCTTACACTCTCTCAATGCAATGCACACTCACACAAGGAGTTTTAGAGAAAGAACCAAGAAGAAATGAGGTCTCTTGGCTCCTAAGGTGAAGGGAGGATGAAGGTGGCAAGGTGGCTGCTCTAACTTCAGCAAACTCACGTAGAGAATGAAGAAAACTAACCTAAAAATCTGTGCCACCTCTATTTATAGTCTAATTAGTTTAAATCACACAGTATTAGCGCTAATAGCTACGCTTAGCATTTTAATCCCAAACTTAAGATTCTGAACCTACTCATTTTTCTAAGATTTTTTATATTTTTATTTTATTTTTTGCAGCACCTTTCCGATACGCGCTTTTCCATAGCCAATATCAGTTCTGGCACCAGTTCTCATTATTTTGACCTGAAACTTGTTTTACAAGTCCTATATATTATTCTAGAAATATTCATGCACTTATTATAATTTTCCGGGATACTTCATCGGTACACATCTATACCGAGTAGCAGAATCGGTATCTTCACTTTTCATCAGAAAAATGACTTTCAACATTATTAATTACTTTCTATAATTATTCAAGCCTTCTCATAATTATTAGGGTCAATTATGGAATTATTTCCTAATTCTCATATTTATTCAATTAATTTCATAAATTAACGGTGCAGGTTCTTACATTCACCCCACCTTTTTAAGGATTTTGTCCTCAAAATCAGAAACATACTTGTCTCGGAAGTCGGGATACTGCCGGAGAAGCTCGTCCTCTCGCTCCCAAGTACACTCCTCAGGAGTTCTTCCAGTCCATTGCACTTTGACCATCGGAATGATCTTGCTCCTCAGCTGCTTCTCGCCACGATCGAGAATCTTGAGTGGTTCGACGGGAGTCTTTAGATTCTCCCGAACCTCCACATCATCCGGTTGCACCACGTGCGAAGGATCCGCTACATACTTCCTAAGTGGTCAGGCATTACAAGTGGTATCAGAGCAGGGCTTCTCATCCAGTACGGTGTGGTTCGAGGACGAACCAGGCAGAAGCTGGTGGGCATGTAACATCCCGAGCGCTGACGAGGGCGGGGAGTGATTGCCGGTGCAAAGAGGCACGGATAAGGAGCGACTCCTGATAGGCTTCCAGCGGGGGGTTACATGTATGAATGAATCGAATCAACACCCGAAAGAAAGGGATTCCTAAGGCTGTCCAGGTATAAGGCTGTACAGTTTGGGATAGCTTATAAGAATTAATTGGTACTACCTATGCTAACAAGATGCATCTGCTTTTCGGTAGCCCAGATCAAAAGAACTTCACAGTTAAGCGTGCTTGACTTGGAGCAATTCTGGGATGGGTGACCTCCTGAGAAGTTTTCCCGGGAAGTGTGCGAGTGAGGAAAAAGCACACTGAAAGTCTCGTGTTAGTATGTGGAGATAGTCATTGATTCTTGAAGCGGTCGGGCGTTACATTCTCAGTATTATTGTTGTTGTAAATCGGTTCTATATTAATCAAAGAAAAGTACTGATTCTCCGTTTTGTTTTTTGTTTTAACAATATTTTTTATTTGTATTTCCTTTTAATATTTTCTGTGATTACATTTTGAAGCAAGCAACTCGTTCAAAACTAACCACACAAAAAATTATGTCACCTGTAAGAAAAATGATATTAAAATCTTTGAGAGGATAATTTGTGTTTAAGAAACTATTTCAACAACACAATCAATTTCATGAAATGTACCCAAGAAATCAAAACATGCAATAACACAAAGTTAAAACGTACCGTGTGAAAACATATGAATAGAAGAAAATAAATTCTAAGGCCAGTATTTGATATTGTATTCTTAAGACAATTTGCCCTATCTATAGTGCCCAAAATTTGTAGACAATTGTCTATCAGGATAAAACGGATTACCTCTGATCTTACGATGACACTTCAACACAACAACCTCATCAAACTTAACCTATGTTTGATAAATCATATTGGAGTCGAAGCATGCAAATGCAAAAGAATGTACAAAGACTAATTGGGAAAAAATATTATGTCTAAAAATTATGATTTCGAATTTTATATAAAAAAAATGTAAAGTCACGATTTGAACGATACTCATTCAATCACGAAATGACTTATTTGTTCGGTGACGAAGCAACACATATTTTCAAAATCAAACTTCTTATTCTTAAATATAATTATTTTTGGGAGTACATTATGTTTTTCTGGATACATTATTCTTAAATATAATTATTTTAAAATTAAATCTAACAAAACACATACACACACTCACACTCATACACACAATATTTAGTCTTGTGATGCATATTTTATACTTGTTTTGGATTCCTGACTTAGGCTTCCCCCAAAGTCAAAAGTAGTTTGCATCCGAGTTAAGTTCTAACAGGTAGTTGTCTTAGTTATGGCACGAGCCCGTATTAGTCACTTAGCCGGGTAGAAGACCCACATATTGCTGGCATCTTTGGGCCCTACTACGATCTCAGATTGGATTATCCATAACTACCCACGTTCATCATAGCCGTCTGGCATAGGATATATATATATATATATATATATATATATATATATATATATATATATATATATATATATATATATATATATATATATATATATATATATATATATATATATATATATATATATATGGAACACTCCAAATAAGAAAGGCTAGATATACAGAATATCCATTAATGTTCGTCCAGAACAATACCCTAGAAATCTAGGTAAAGGGCTATAGGTTCTAGGTATTGCTTTACATATAAGAACATCTGGTAGCTACAATGATGACTGGTTTTGATGCTAATTGCACTTTAAAACCTTAGATGACCAAGCTTTGATAAGCATTTTGGTGATGAAAGTTATGAAATTTGTTTGCATGGTACCGATTTTATTGACTAAAAGGATGGAGATGAATTCATAGTTATAAGAAGGCAATGAGGAAATTCAAAGGTTCACTAAATCCATGTGAATGTTAACCAAAGCGAGAAACACTATGGAAATGGAAAACAAGAGTAAAAGAATTAAAGAGATATTGCAAGGAGGAAGAAATAAGAGAAATTGGGTGGAAAATACTGCTTTACAAGCCCAAATTCTTGTTAACTGAATCTCAAACCTTTAGCTCCTTTTCTTACATATGTTCCTTGGTTTATATTTTAAATATCTGTCTCGGTTATGGCTGTAGTCCTTGTTTTGCAAGAAGAGGATTATTTTAGTAGCCTCTATATTGGCAATAATTAAGG